CGGTAGATCGAATGTGTGAAGCAAATGAAGTTATGTATGTTATGCGCTATGTTAACAACGAACAGCGAAAGAGAACGCCGAAAGGTGCTGAGTGTTCCTAAGTGGGGAAGTGAGCGTGCAAAGGTGGACAACTTTTTTTATTTTGAAAATTAAAAAATATATATTTTACTTATATGCGGTAGTGGACAAAGTATTTTAGTATTTTGAAATAAGTTGAAGTTTGATTAAAAATACGAAAAGACTTTTTCGACTACCATATTTTACTTATATATTTAAAAACTATGCAATAAAATACTTTTTTAGTTATAAATTTAATACTATTTGCATTTTTGTCGGCATTTTCATAACTAGAAATTCCAGCGCATCAAAATCTATGACCAATCGCCGGCTTTCACACAATGTATCCACGTATAGCCCCCAAAGTAAAATAATTCCTAATATATTTGAAAAATTGCCGCGCAAAAAAAGAACGTGTAGATAATGACGGAAAACGGCAAAATGCACTTGACTTAGCAAACAAAATTTCATGATTTTCCATTACGTGTCAGTGCATTTTTATCTTTTTTGATAGACAATGCAGTTGGAGATATGGAAAAGTACAATGAGGGTGTTCATGATGCATTAGAGTGTCAATATTTTCAACTTTTCAAGAGTTACAAGAAGGTATAATGACTTATTTATTAGGAGAAATATACAAAGTAGTATTAAACCTAACTTTCAAAGAGAGTACGAGATATTAAAGCCATCGACTGTGAACAAACAAAACAGTGGAAATGCTTTGCCGAAAATTCAATTGTGAATTCAGTGCATTAGTCTTCAATAAATAATAAAAGCTCTCAGGCAACGACCTTTTATATTTTGAAAGTGACTATTAACCGCAACCGCATACTGCGCTCAGCTGCGTGAGTCGCCCAACTGCAGCTCACTGCCCACGTCTTTATCTCTATGGAAGTCGCATAACTGTAATCACTTTACATGCCAACAAGCTTTGACACAAATCTAATAACTGACATAGCAAGCGACATTTTTCCGCGAAATACAAGCAATTGCGTGCGGTGCTGCAGAGTTGTAGTTGTAGTTTATAGAATTCTACGCTGCGCCTTCCGCGAGTTTGCCATTTCTGAAGTGGCCACTTGAGTGTCGATTTATGTGATGTTATGTGATTTTGGCGCTGCACATAAGGCCTTTCGACAAATCGACAACTTAATCTGGCGGGCAATTATTTTTAATGTTTACTATTTTATGCTGAGATTTAATGATTAGAAGTGAGGAATTTATGAACTGCGAATGTTTGCACAAAATTATGCATTAATTGCATTATATATGGACATTTTACTATAGAAGGATGGCATAAGGTAGGCTATAGTTCTTTTGAGGCGATTGCCGAAGGCGCTTAACTCACGAACATGATTGCTTAAAGCGATTCTTACAGCTTGCGTTCGAACATGGCATCCTACAAATTCTTCCATTTCCATCTTTCTCAGTCCTGACTTACCAAAACTAAAATAAACATAGAAAATCTTTGCGCAGTTCTTCAACTCCAATCTCACACCTTATCACCCCGAGTTTCTCTCTGTCCTACCTCCGCTGTTACTTTCTAAGCTAACTATATCCCGCTGAAGCGACCACAGAAATTCGTTTAGCTAAATTTTGCTTAGATCTGTAGAGGTGCGAAAACAATGAATCAAATACGACAGTAATGTGCGAAAAAGATCAAGGTCTAAGCATGGTGAAGCGCAACAAATGGTCGCAAAGTTAGGATTGACGCCTCGAAAGGTTATGCAGAGTGTTTGGTGGAATTAGAAAGGAATCATCCACTATGAGGAGCTGCTCCAGCCTAGTCGAACGATTGAGACTACATTTCACTGTCAACAACTGATGAGATTGAAGCTAGCAATCGAAAAAGGTCAGAACTGTTCAACAGAAAGGGCTTCGTCTTCCATCAGGACCACGTTAGACCACACACATCTTTGATGACTCGGCAAAAACTAGCTTGACTAGGAAGTTTTGATGCATCCATCATATAGCCCTGCTTGTGAATGTTACTTGTCACAGTTTTTCGTCGAGAAATCTAAACATTTTTACACTAATGGAATAATGTCTCTTAAAAATAAATGCCAAAAAGTTGGCGACCAAAATGGTACATATTTGTTTCATTAAAGTTCATTATAAATATAAAAAAATAAGCTGAAGTTTGATTAGAAATACCAGAAGACTTTTTCGACTACCCAATATTTCGCACAGAGTAGCATGGTTCTTTGAAGCTCTGCAAGCAGCCATCAGACGATGGGAATGATATGGTAGCGTCGCGCGAATATTAATACCGATCCGCTTCTGCTACGTCGAGGAATTGTTTTGGAAATATTCAGATCTTTCAAACTCTATATGTGTATGTACTTTTACTTGACTTGTTGCTGTCCTGAAAGCTCGATAGCTTCCGAATTTATTTATGACTACACAGAACCTCTTTAGCGTATTTGCACCGTTCCACTTTGCCGACGTAGATGTGACTGTTTTGGGAATATTCTAGTCTTTCTAACTTTGTGCTCTAGAAGTTCTACTCTGAAGATCGATAGCGTACAGAAATGTTTAATGCTACTCAGAACTTCTCTTTCAAACTTAAAAGTTGAACAGATCATTATAAGATATCGCTTTCCAGTCTCAAAAAACACACAAATTATGTATAAAAGAGAACGCTCTGTCTGACTAAGTCTTTTATAAGTCATAAACGGCTATTACACATCAATAGAAGTGAGGTTAGCCACAAGTTCACTTCCCTAATCTTTCCGAACCAAGCTTTGTTCACTGGCGGCTGTTTGTCTACACCCTAAACTCAGTAATAACCACAACAACTTCATCAATGCAAAACACAAAATTGACGATCATTATCGGTACATTGGATGGCAATCAATCAAATCGTAAAAATGCGTGAACACCTTATAAAAATATTTGTGCTTGAAAATGCCTACAAACCCACCAAATAAAACTGAGCAGTCCCCACAGAGAGGATCACGCGAGTGAATGTAATTGAAAGGCAAATCAGAATACTTAAGTCCAACAACAACAATTCGTAGTAATAACAGTTGCTGTCGAAAGTCAATAGAGCACGATAAGCGACAGAAGCAGTGTGGAAAGAGAGACGCGGGAGCCCCCGAGTAACGACGGTGGCCAAAAACCAGTAGTCAAAACAAGCGTTTATCCGAATCAAATGCTGGAAGTACAGGGTAATATGACCTTATCATGCGGCCGAGTGCAGTTTATCAGCAAATAGTAGCAACAATAAAAACAATAACGAGTGTGACGTTGGTGGAGCAGCCTTCGACAGCGTCAAATTTTGGGAGCAGTTAATGGGGGGTTGCTCAAAAGTCATCAAAGGTTAGATAGTTATTGCATGCGGGCAAGTATTTGCCTTGACAGCTTGAGCAAATAGAAAATAATATAAATAAATGACAAATATAAATACTCGTATAAAGATAAATAATAAATCGGAAAACCCAAATCGGCAGCAAAAAACTTGACGAAATCTGATAAACCCCATGCCGGTGATATGCAGTGCTAAGGCAACGTCATAGTATTCAATAATCATTGTATTCCTCCGCGGTATACACGCTCACGGCGCACTCGTGCGTTCGTCATTTGATCAGATGCCAAGAAGCGAGTTCTGGTCAAGTGATAAGCGCAGTCTTCGTTTATTGTTCTCCAGCTTATCACACGCATATTGACAGCGTTCATGATTGCACGCGCACGCACACACCGGCGAGCGATTGCATGCGGGCGTAGGGTCAATAGGGAAGCGTTAGATTGAAAATAACAAAAAGTGAACTAAGCCCGGGGTTGTGCGCTGGGTTTGAGACCCGCCACGTAAAAAATACCCTAAATGAAAAGTAGAAAAGAACCTCGGATGAGAGATCCCCCTTCTAAACTCGACTATAACCGCATAAGCGGTGTCGGCGTCAATAAGAAAAAACTTAGCAAAGATTTGGTTTCAATTTCATTCGATGGTCGATGAGGTACTGGTAGCGGACAGACCATAGAACTGCGAAATTGGGTCAGTCGGGCCAACGATTAAGGCTAAATTAGAAGGCTTAGAAACATTTCACATGCAACAAAGCAAGATCTCGGACTGGGCTTGAAATATTTACAGTTTGACTTCGCAATACTCATTCAGTTATTTCTACAGCAAAAGTGGTAGTAGGGTACACAGTAGAGAACATAATACCTTTTAGGAAACTCGCTTGAAAGAACGTCTCCTCTTTTAAGATGATATTTACTAGTGGAAAATAGTAATGCCTACGGAGAGTGGTGGTCGAAGACTATGAATAACCTCATCCGCGATAAGCAATGACTCACCCGTTCCCAGGACTTTTTTATCCGATCACGGACTCTCAACTCGGCAGAATTCTCCGCTACAATAGGTTGTTGGACTCACTTTCCAACAGGGACCACCTTCCCAACACACGCGCAATTCCGTTCTTTCGTTTACCGAACATGTTGATAACACCTAAAAATGTTATTGTTGTTGTTTTTGTAGCTTTGACTCACTATCAGTTGCACAAATCAAATATTGATAACTACACATCGCCACCAAAAAGCCAACCAACAACATACCTATAACTGGGTAATGGTAAATGTAAACAAGACGCCCGAGGCCGGCTACCGAGACCACCACCAAGGCAAATAGCACAGCACCACACCACACAACTGCAGAGGAAACAACAACAACATGGATGGTAGCGAGATACCAGCTCAATGATTGTAGGTGAAATCGTCAATGGTGACAGATAGACGACCGCGATTGAATGCTGATCAGTATCCCCTGTCTCTTATACACCTCTAGATGTGTATAAGAGACAGGCACCACACCACACAACTGCAGAGGAAACAACAACAACATGGATGGTAGCGAGATACCAGCTCAATGATTGTAGGTGAAATCGTCAATGGTGACAGATAGACGACCGCGATTGAATGCTGATCAGTGTCCCGGTCGCATAGTGGGCCGTACGAGGGACTCGGTAAAAGGTAGTATATGCGGTGTGCGCACGCTTATCAGCAGCACGTATCGGTGAGATATGGACGCATACAGGCAAGCCAGCTGGAGCTCATGGACAGACGTAAGCATACAGCAATTGGGTACTAATCAACTGGGCACTTTTTATACTCGCCTAAATATTTCTTTACAGGTTAGTTGGTGTACGCGTGTATGTTTCTATACATGTATGTGTGACTTGCACCGTTTATGGCACTATATACGCCGTTTAATAGCACACATTTCAACTGATATCGACGATTGTGGGGGCTTTCGAGTAGTAGCAAATCGTTGCGCCACCACTTCAAACACGACCACAAACGCTAAAGCAAGCACCACGGGCAGCGCAGAAGAGATCAGAAAGGTTCTGCGCCAACACAAAATTTGAAATTCGAGATCGAAGTTCAGAAATCGCGGAGCGCGTGAGCAATCGGCGCGGGTGTGGAACTAAATTGATATAAAACTCAAACGTTCATTACAAAATATAAATCAAACAATTAAGTGAAAATAATCTGGAGAAAAAGTGAAGTATTAATAAACCAATACCAAAAAAAATTTCCAATAAAATCTTAACAAGTAGAAAAACCCATAAAATCAAAGGAAGAAAGCATAAATTAAAAAAAATATATCAAATTTAAAATATAAGCTTAAATTCTTAAGCTTAAAATTAGAATATAAATAAAAATTTACTATAAGACAAATTGTTTTTGAACGCTCGATTTGTATGCTATAGTTGTCCGATATCAGCGGTTCCGATAAATGGGCAGC